TCATTTAGGCTCAGATCCCAGTGTGATAATGGAGTAATAATAGAAATCACGCCACTGTCAATCGGTTGCTGCATTAGTCCGAGGCGCATTTCCCCTCCAAGGAGGCTTTCAATGACTTCATTCAAGTGTAGGCTGAAGCAAACGGGATATTCAGCATACCAGCTGTACTACTTTAGTGATTTGTATCCTGGCTTAGGGGTGCAGCGCAAGCAGTGGTGCTATGGATGTTCAAATGCATATATCTGTCACATTTCATGGCTTTGAAAGGTCAGTAGTCAAATGTTTCAATGACATTTTTCTAGTATAAATGGTGAATCTGGCATTTATTGCATTATTCTAATGGGGGAATTGACAAATAGTCTTTTTAGTGTGGGTGGTCTTCTGGGATGTGGGGCCGATGACCTTATAGCTACATTGAGAGAGCTTTGAAGAGGCAAGATTCATTGTCGTTTTTACAGGCTATGGGGTGGTGGTCAAAAAATTCATATTTTATTCCAAGATGCTTTGTGGAAACTTTCTAAAAACTGTTAAAAGTTCTGAGATTTACTTGTAGCACCATATCCTATTTGGAGCATTACTGAATTATAGTTTGCTGTGGATAAATTAAAAGATAGCTGTTTTCCCTTGTTCCCAGATGTTTACTAAACATTGAATCTCAGTATTTAGAGCAGGAGTGCATTTGTAAGCTACTTCAGTGACAACCTACAGTTGTTGTTTTCTGGACGAAAATTGTCCCTTTTTTCCCTCTTTGGTCTCTTTCAAATACAAAATCAGTTTTGGTGTGTCACATCTTTTCAAAATTGTGTTTCAAAGTTAAAGGTCTAATTGTACAAACTTAAAAGCCATTGTACCAGTCCACAAACAAGAAGCAATGTCGAATACGCTCTATCTGAAAAGAAAAGCAAAAGTATTCAGTATCTTGGTAGAGGTAGTACAGACGGCAACTTCAAAAACAAGGCCAGCAAAATAAGATTCACAGTATTGGGGAAATGACCTTCTAGCTGGGATATTGTTTAATTGTGTGGAACATTACAAAAAAGCTCCAGTGTGCTTGATCACAACATATTAATTCATTCCCTTTTTGTAGTATTTGTACAGTAAAGTACAAAAAGCCCTGGGAAAATAACTTGTTTTCTAAGGGGCTTGGGGGTGGGGGGTTGGGACTAGAACTATCTGCTTTAAAATATATGTACATGACATTGTATCTGTCATCGCCATACTATCACTACACCAACTGGTAGCATTAGATCCATGTTGTAAATAGTGTTTTAATTCTGACCACATTTTCTGGCGTAAGATTTCTCCTTTAACAATCACATCAAACTGAGCATTTTTGTGTGACATATATTCCCTTATTTGTCAGAGAATTTTTGCTTTTTAATGCAAAAAACTGTTTTTATTTTTTCCAGGTAGAAATAGACATTGGCACTGTAAAATTTGCCTTCCCATACTTGTTGCTATATCGTATATTTCTACTAAACATTATGGCTCAACATACAGTCAGAGAATTCGATTTCTCAGAAGTTAAAATGCTTTTCTGGTACTTATAGTGCAATTTATTACTATTGTTATTTAACATTTATATTGTGTTAGCACCAAGAAGCCAGCCAGGCCAGGGTCCCATTGTTCCCATTGTTCCAGGTGCTGTACAGACATATGGAAAATGACAGTCGCTGTCCCACACAAGACAACAGGTGGATGAGACAAACATCGGGGTCAGGGTTGGGGATGGGGGAGACAAGGTAACAAACGATAATAGGATGTTTGCAATTGATCAGACATCTATATATTTATTTACCAAGTTTGAAGTTTTCTTAAATTATAAAAAGGTCTTTAAAACAAAAAAGAGAGAAAATAGTTGCTTTACAAAACCATTCCATCTGGGAAAAACAAGGAATCTATACACAAATGGGGATTTTTGTAATAGTCTTTGCAATGAAGCTTTGTGGAGCTTTCCTCATCTTGCTGCAATGTACATGTCATGTTAGGGAGAGTCCTTTTATTAAAGGGGGAAAAAAAACCTAAGGGAATAGGTTTGTGCTCCCAGCATTTCAGTTAAAATGAATAAGAAAGGACAGCTGTGCCCACTTACTGCCACTATAGTTGGGTTTGTCAGCATTTCCTCCGTTAATGCCTCTACCTGCTGCGCCAAACACTCTGTTCAGTAGCTCATAACGTGGCCTTAAATTATGCTGTGAGCTGTAACCTGGCATACAGGGTCCCATCCCAGGGACTGAGAACGTTGGGAAACTAAGAAGTTACAAGTTTCTGTTGTTTTTTTCTGTGTGCTCAAATGTAATATAAATTTTAAACTGTAATTCTCAAAATGCAGCACAGCACTAGACACAGTGAAGTAAATTAAGGACATGATTATTGCCTTACCTCTGAATTTCATTGCTTCTGTTGGCCTAAATCAGATTCCCCAAAGTTATTTTAAATAAGAGCACTTTGTGTGTGAATTCATATTACCGATATGGTGAAGAACCTTGAAAAATAAAACAAAACCCCAACTACCTGCAGTTTCTAAAAACGAAGGGTGGCTGTATTATCCTTCTGTTTAGCAGAGAAAGCTTTCTAAATAAGCACATGGTGTTCTGCAGCATTTCAAATTTTATTAGCATTCAAAATAAATTCAGTTTCCAAGCAGAGCCAATTCCCAGACGTCTTTCCTGTCTATTGTGTCGTCCCCCCTCTTATCCTTCCCTTCCCTCTCCCCCCCCCGCCACTTGAAGCAGCTGCTCGTGGACTAAACAATAAACATTTGAGTTGGCATTTTAGTGGGTGACTTTAAATTGAAATATTAATCATATTTATTTTAATGTATTACTATTTTTAACTTTTCAGTTTTCCTTGCAGTTGGCAGGTTTGAGTGTTACTTTGAAAATGTTCCAATTAGAACAAGTGAGTAGGTTGTGGCTTTTTTCAAACTCCAAGAATACAGCTTTAATAATAAAAGAATGCATTGTAAGGAAAACAGATTGTTAAAATGCTAGTGATTTATGTCCCTTCTTATTAGCATCTGATTTATGTGCTAATGCCATGCGATGTCAGTCGGAGAGTGAAGATAATGTCTCATTGCTTGTTTAGCTGGTGATATCTGCCAAAGCTTTACAGGTTAAGATTTGAGCAGAAAATTCTCGATTGCTTCATGGTCTTTGAGCAGAAAATTCTTGATTGCTTCATGGTCTTGTTGCCAGAGTGCTGCTTTTTGGCATGCAAGGGGCTGTCATTAAAATAAAGAAACATTTAGGAATTCTCTGATACTTATATCCGTCCAGGAGGTCCAAAGCAAAGTGAGAGGGAACCTTTTTTCATCTCAGGCTAATTGTAAGATAAGGGCTTGTGTAGTCCAAGCAATCAACCTTGGCTGCAGTGTCTTTCGTGAGAAGATGATGATGATGAAAGTAATGTTCTTTATGTCTGCCTTTGGCTGGCACCAAGAAGGCAGGGTGGAGTGGTGGGCAGCGCAGCAGGAGGAGAAGGCCTTAGATGGAAAGGGAGACCCTCACAGGGCTCCAGAATGTGACCTCAACTTGGAACAAAAGTGGAATTAGGGTGGAAGCAGTATGATTTTGTTCTTTAATAATCTGCAAAATGTTAGAACTGAGTAATGCTGGGTTTGTATTTTGTATGCAAGAATTTAAGTTGATAATGTGTTTTGTTTTGTTTTCCTTTTGGTGTCCCAGAATGGAGAAAATGTGTGTGTGGAGGGTAGGGGAAAGCATTTGAGTGAATAAGGAATCTGTGATAGGACTTTCAAAACCCTGAATTTCCAGTGTGTTTCCTGGCAGCTAGTGTGTATTCTTACTTTGTGCTTTCCGTGAATTATTTATTTGTTCATCCGATAAGCCTATTAAATGAAGCACTTAAGCACTCACTACATCAGGCGTCTTGCGCTTTTTCTCTTCAGGCTACTAGTAGTTCATCTAAAAAATGTTAGGTTTTGGAATCAGGAACAACTGCTAAATATATATACACAATAGGCGCATAGACATTATATCTTTCCCTTCTTTTTGGTATGAGAATGGATAACTTATGACTCTTTACACTAGAAATGTGCTGTCACAGTCTTAATTTTGCTGCATGCTACTTATTTATATCATGTTTCTTTGTACACTGCAGGAATACAGTGAAATTGTTTATATAATAAATCAATAGACCCCTGATGTAGTTAAACATTCATACGTCTGGTGGCCTCCTGAAGTGATGCACTATAAATTATCATTTTGTTTCTACCCCCACCAAGCCTCAACAAAATGAAATTACTTAGCATATGTATTCCATAAAGAACAGAGCCTATTAATCCAAGCTAATGTTTGAATAAGAAAACATGATTTTGATCTGATCTAAATATAGAAATGAAAAGCCATGGAAAATGAGTCTTAACTAGGCCCCAGAACAGTGTCTTTCAAAATACAGACAACATGAACTCTGAGGTTTTTCTAAAATCAACTAGCTCTTCATCAACTAGGTCAACATTTCAAACACATGCTAGAATTACACAAGTATCAGGGGGTAGCCGTGTTAGTCTGTATCCACAAAAACAACAAGGAGTTCGGTGGCACCTTAAAGACTAACAGATTTATTTGGGCATAAGCTCTTGTGGTAAAAGATCACTTCT